ATTCAATACAGCGTTTCGTGGCCCCATATGGAGCCCCACCGAAGGTCCCAGTGGCGCAGTCCGCATACGTCTCCCCACCCACTACAGCGCTTCGCGGCCCCATGGGGGCTCCGCCGAATGTCCCCGTGGCGCAGTCCGCATGCGTCTCCCCAGCCCAGTACAGCGCTTCGTGGCCCCATGGGGGTTTCGCCGAGGGCCCCCGTGGCGCAGTCCGCATGCGTTTCCCTCACCCAGTACAACGTTTCGTGGCCCCATAAAGGGGCTCCACCGAAGGCCCCCGTGGCGCAGTCCACATGCGGTTCCGCCGCCCAGTACAGTGCTTCGTGGCCCCATATGGAGCCCCACCGAAGGGTCCCGTGGCGCAGTCCGCATGCGTCTCCCCCACCCAGTAAAGTTCCGTCGGAGGCCGTCGGAGTTCCGCGCCTCGCTCGCCCGTCGTCGCTCTGCCCAGCGGCAAGAGCCTTGCCCGCTATCAGCCAGCCAGTTAGCTACTTTTGCTCCGCGCAGCGGGCGACCCGTGCGCGTCGCTGGGACCCCTCCGGGGCGACCTGCGCGCGTCGCGGGGACTCCACGAAGCGTTGCGCCCGCAGCCTTGGACTTTTGAGTGCGCGGGCAAAGAGGGAGTAAAAGAAGGGGAGGAAGCGGGCGCGATCCTCGCGGGGGGACGCGCCGACATTGGCGTCGCGTCGCGCGGGCGATGCCGTCGGGGAGTCCTGGGGAAGCTCCTTGCGGCGGCCACGCCCAGCGTCACGAGTATTCAGAGGCAGTCATTCTCAAAATATTGACACTCATATACAATAACACCATGCTTTGTCATACTCGCATTCATTCACGTAGAGTCGCTCGCACGCAGATTCATTCACAGTCAAATGCATTCGCGCTCAGATTCACCCGCGCTCAGTCTCCCCGCGTACTCAGATCAATCGTTTTCGGCCTCGTCGTGTACCACGCCACTCATTTCGGCACACCCCTAGCACGGTTCGTTGACTCATAGGGATCACCACCGAAAAAATGAATCACAAGTTCGGTACTCACACCTGCATATGGTCGGGTCCTTCGTCGGGCTAATTAGACAGGGATGGTGGGGGGAGGCCGCATCGGGTTCGCTGTGATTGCTCCGAATTTGGAGGCAGAGTGTGTTTTGTTTGTTCCCAACCATCCTGTGGTGTTGGGTCCTCGTTTTGAAGAAACGGTCCCAGCGTTCCTTTCCTCTCCTCCTCCTCCTCCTCCTCCCCTCCCCCCCTCCTCCTTTTTCCGTGCGTTTCGCCCACCCAGCGCAGCGCTTCGCGGCCCCATGGGAGCTCCACCGAAGCCCCCAGTGGGATCGCCCGCGTGCGCCCCCCACCCAATTCGGCATTTTCGCCCACCTAGTACAGCGCTTCGTGGCCCCAAAGGGAGCTCCACCGGAACCCCCAGTGGGACCGCCCGCGTGCGTCCCCCACACCCAATTTGGTATATCCACCTATCCAGCACAACGTTCCGTGGCCCCATAGGGAGCTCCATTGAAACCCCCGGTGGGGCCGCCCGCATGCGTCCCTCACGCCCAATTTGGCATATCCACCCACCCACCACGACGTTTCGTGGCCTCCACCGAGGCCCCCAATGGGACCGCCCGCGTGCGCCCCCCACGCCCAATTTGGCACTTTCGCTTACCAAGTACAACGCTTCGTGGCCTCCACCGAGGCCCCCAGTGGGACCTCCCGCATGCGCCCCCCGCGCCCAATGTGGCACTTCCACCTACCCAGCATAGCGTTTCGTGGCCCCGTAGGTCTCCACCGAACCCCCACTGGGACCGCCCGCGCGCGCCCCCCACGCCCAATTTGGCATTTTCGCAGACCCAGTACAGCGCTTCGTGGCCCCAAAGGAGCTCCACCGAAGCCCCCACTGGGACCGCCCCCATGCGCTCCCCACACCCAATTTGGCACTGTCACCCACCCAGGACCCCATAGGGAGCTCCACCGAAACTTCAGTGGGACCGCCCGCATGCGTCCCCCACATCCACTTTTTGGCATTTTCACTGTTTTGGCATTTTCGCACATTCCGTACACCGTTTGGTGGCCCCAATAGGACGGCTCACCGAAACCCCCACTGTGACCGCCCGCGTGCGCTCCCCTCACTCAACTTGGCACTTTCACCCACCCAGTACAACGCTTCGTGGCCCCAAAGGGATCTCCACCGAAGCCCCCAGTGGGACCGCCCGCATGCGTCCCCCACGCCCAATTTGGCACTTCCACCAACCCAACACAGCACGTCGTGGGCCCATAGGGAGCTCCACCAAAGCCCCCAGTGGGACCGCCCGCGTGCGCCCCCCACGCCCAATATGGCATTTTCACCCACCCTGTACAACGCTTCGTGACCCCATAGGGAGCTCCACCGAAACCCCAATGGTGCCGCCCACATGCGCCCCCCACACGCAATTTTGCAGTTCCACCCACCGAGCACAGCGATTCGTGGCCCCATAGGGAGCCCCACCGAAGCCCCCTGTGGGACCGCCCGCATGCGTCCCCCACACCCAACTCGGCATTGGCACCCACCCAGTACAGCGCGTCGTGGCCCCATAGGGAGCCCCACCAAAGCCCCCAGTGGGACCGTCCGCATGCACCCCCCGCACCGGATTTGGCATTGTCACCCACCAAATACCTTGCTCCGTGGCCCCATAAGGAGCTACACCGAAGCCTCCAGTGGGATCGCCCGCATGCGTCCCCCACACCCCATTTGGCATTTTTACGTACCCATTACAGCGCTTCGTGGCCCCATAGGGAGCCCCACCGAAGCCGCCAATTTGAAAATTGCGCCCGCAGTTTACAACGCTTCGCGGCCTCATGGGGAGCTCCACCGAAACCCCCAATGGGACCGTCCGCGTGCGTCCCCCACACCCAATTTGGCATTTTCACAAACCTGGTGCACCGCTTCGTGGCCCCAAATGGAGCTCCACCGAAGCCCCCAGTGGGACCGCCCGCAAGTGTTGCCCCCTCGCCCAGCGCAGCGTTTCGTGGCCCCATAGGGAGCTTCACCGAAGAAGATGTTCACAGAAGAAGATGTTCACACGTGCGGTACCCACAACTTCATATGGTTGGGTCCCTCGCCAGGATCATTTTTACAAAGGGTGGCGGGGGGTGGGACCCTCATTGTCCCTGGTTGGCTCCCAGTCGCCTGGGGGAGGGAGTGTACATGAACAGGGATCAGTGGGTAAACCCCTCCCCGAAGGGGAAGAAAGGGATTGGAAGAGGAGCCAACCCGAGCCCCCCGAACCCGAGTCTTACGTCTCCCCGAAATTTGTGTGCACGCATCCCTGGTGGCCAAGCCAGGAGGGCGTATGCACTAGGCCCATGATGGGTCCAGCCAGGATCGGTGAGGTGGTCTGCTGAGCGAGGCAGATGATCGGGATCGATTGTTCCGACATTCGCGCGTCCGCTACCTGCGCAGGGTCGCGCGCAATGCGCCCTCGCTCCCAGTGCAGCGTGTCGCGCTGGCCACCCGCGTAAGCTGCGGCGCACGTGCAGTGCCGTTTTTTATACATGCTCCGCGTGCGGATCATGTATTAGACCTGCAGGGGTTTAGTATTAAAACCCTCGCTGAGTGCACGCATAAAGTTTGTTCATATATTCGTTATGGATCAAACACCCCATATGTTTAAGAATCCCATGTCTTAAAACCTGCCATGTACGCTATGCCATATTGCGTAAGACGCGATTCGGATTCCCCGCTCAGCTGACGGCTCGGAGGGGCGAGGCTGCCTCGACCCGCAGCCGCGCCTTCCTCGCCGACGCGGGGGCCCGATCGCCCACGCCCTGCCCAGGCCCGCGCGGAGTGGCCATCGGGAGCCAGCCGCCGATCCATCGGCGATGCCTCGGCGAGTCCCGGTCGATCTTGGCCCCATCGGAGCCGGACCCCCCCCCCTGGATCTCTGGACGCCCGAAATGGGTACTGAAAGAATGGGTACGATGCCCAACAGCAGTTCCTGTTCATTCTGAACAGGATCCGCTGTCCGCGCCGCCGCGGCCTGTGTCCATTTGAAACAGGAGGCCGCCCGCCCAACAGCGGCCGCTCTTGGTTTGGGACAACATTTGCTGTTGGGCATCGTACCCATTCTTTCGGTGCCCATGTCGGGCGTCCAAACCCTAGATCGTTGCATATGCTCGGGTGTTCCGACGAAGGCATCTGTACACCATCACCGTGCCAGGCCAGGGCCATCCTGGGCCCTAGGATGGTGTGTAGACCCTCCTGGCCTCGGCCAGGGGGGCGTATGCACCATGCCAGGGCCAGGATGGCCCTGGCTTGGCACGGTGGTGGTGTATAGATTCGGGCCGGACGAAAGGGGGGGATTGGGAAAGGGGGGGTTACGAAATCTGCTGCATGCAGCTGGTTTCGGCCCCACCGAGGGGCCCATTCCTCGATACATGGGCGCCTCCCGGCGCCGGGAGGCGCCGGGAAAATCAGCTACGTGAGCTGATTCTCAAACCCCCCCTTTGATATCCCCCTGCCCGACCTGATAGATGCCTTCTGCGTATGTGTCGTCCCCGCGGTGTCGTTGAAGCCTATCCCCATGGGGCCATGGTAACTCAGCCCCGCCCGTCCCGCCCCCCTGGTGGTGGCATCGCTCGGACGTGTGCATTTTTCCTTCGGCGAGGACCATCGAGGAGCATCCTTGATCATTTGGCGAAAAAAACACGCACGAAAACAAGAAAAAACGCAGGGAATGGACGTCCGAGCGATGGCCAGTAGTGGGGGACAGGGCCCCCCGAACCCGAAGCAAACAGCCTATAGCCCCATCAGGGGGAGGAGTAGATTGGCCAGTGGGGATAGGGATGGGGATCGGTAGCGCGATGCTCAGAGGGGTGAGGACGAGGAGGAAGAGGAGGAGGAGGAGGAAGATGAGGAGAAGCAGGAGCAGGAGCAGGAGGAGGAGGAGGGGGAGGGGAAGAAGTTGGAGGAGGAGGAGGAGGAGAAGGAGGAGGAGGAGGAAAAGGAGGATGTCCAGCCCCTGCTGCTCCCAATAG